ATATATATGGAATTATTTTGTTCAAATACAATGTTACTGGAAGTTCATAGATTTTATAGACAATAGGAGGAGGAGTGGGCAGAAACAACCCCTTCATTTCTGTGAAACTTGGAGTTCTTCAGAGCTGGCTTTAAACACCTCTAACTGAGAATAATCCAGTCAATATAACATGAGCTCTTAGTGTTGCTGTAATTTTCACCTAGCTTCGTACTTGGGTTGATACACTTTTAGGACAAAAATTGATATACCAGGGGAAAGTTGGAATTTGTCATTGAGTGTAGATTGGGTTCTAGAATTCTGTTTGTGCCAGTTTTGTGTTAATATGATGTAAGACCATCTTTTGCTTTTCAGAAAACAAGTAGACTTTCTGTTCTGGTAGATTAACTAGCAAAACATTAAACTGAATAAGTTTTCTTGCTTCATTTGTTCATATTCCTCTTTTCTTACTATAACTACTTTCATAACGACACATTTGCCCTTTTTGATTGAGACTATAAAAAAATTAACTAGGCAAATTGTTGGAGAGAGTGTAGTGGATAAACCGTGGAGTCATTGGATGCAATCTTTATTTTCAGGAATCATTGTTCTCTGCTCCTCTTAGCTCACTGAGGTGCTCTGAGAGTGAAAAACTATGTGAAAATTAAAGATTTGTGTTAATATGGGATGTGGACCTGATAGCAGTGAAATGTATGTTTTTTTCTGTGATTTATGAATAATACTCAGCCCTGAGTTGGATAAGAGATGAATTATTCAAAGAAAAAAAAGATAGGTAAAATTGCTTGAAAAAATTTTTTTTATCTAGTATTATGATTTAAAGAATAATTTCAGGGGTGCACAGGGACAACTGGATAGAAATATGGAGCAGAGTTCCTCAGGCTGATTGAGGGGAGCAGAAAACAAGGAGAAGGGAATTGATTGTGATTTACACCTAGGTCAGCGGCTGATTCATTGAGGGACTTGGGACAACCCACTTTTCTTGTTTTGCCCAATTTTCCCTCTTGTGCGTCAGTCCTTTTGTTTGTTGGGATAAATTATAATGAAGGAATATGGGTTAAGTATTTAAAGTTCTTATGTAACCATGTAATTATTATTTATTGGTATCCTCACTTAACCCTTCTGCCTAACTTGTGCAAACTAGTTTTGATGCTATTAAGGAAGTTCAGAAGACCGAGGAGCTGTTGGTTAAGTGTTAGCATCCCATTTCCTGTGACTATTTTACTTCTTTAAAAGGAAAGTCTGTTTTACCCATCCATATACATTTGATGTGCTATACTGAAAGAGTCCAAGTGCTTAGCATAGATGCAGTTTTAAAGTACTGCTCCATTTATAACTTGATTTTTAACAGTGGGCAGGCAGGAGCTACTGTTTAGATAGATTATTATGCTAAGCAAAATAAGCCAGTCGGAGAAAGGCAAACATCACATGATCTCACTTATACGCCGAATCTAATGAACAAAATAAACTGACCTATAAAATAGGTCCAGAGGCATGGATGCATGAAACAGAATGACAGAGCTCAAAGGGGGTTTTGAGGTACAGAGGGGATGGGAAGAGACTAACTAAAGACGTTACATGCATATATGCATAGCCCATGGACACAGACAATCATGTGGTGAGGGCCTGGAGTGGGGCAGAGGTAAAATGGGGAACACCTGTAATGCTGTCAACAACAACAACAAAGTTAGATAAGCTAGTTGTAGGACCTATGGATACAAATGGAACATATTTCAAAACAGGAAAATACGGTGCACGCTGGTAGCACAAAAGCCACATTTCCACAGTAGGCCTGGTACACTCTGATGGATGGGCCTTTGACTCCCAGCCCTGCCTGCCACACACTGACCTTGGGCAAGTTGTTTAAGGTCTCTGGGCCTCAGTTTTCTCATTTATAAAATGGGGATTGAAGAGCACTTCCCAGAGGGCTGATTGCCATATTATACAGATAAGAATTGCCATAATTATATATGTATATCTGGAGATACATATGCATATGCATCTATGTGCATGTAGATACACACATATGAGTTACAAAAATACTTGGAAGTAGGTCATTGCCATAGGCATTTGGAAGGTAGGGGTGGAGTGGAGAACATGATTTAAACTGGAGCATGTGGACAGCCTGGTGACGTGTGGAGGCTGGGGCTGAACTGGTCTCTCTGGGTGTGGTTTCGGCTGGCTGCCAGGGCGGCAGGGAATGGCTGCAGGAATGTATGGCCATGGGCTCAGAGTACTAGCAGAATCAGACAAAACAGGGACATGGAACCAGAAGCCATAGCAGGGTTTCCAAGGAAACAAGCCTCTGACAATTTGATGATTGAGCCAGTGAGCCCACTGTCAAATGTTAGCAGATATCTTACCTTGGCACAAGCGATGCCAACTCTTCCAGGTCCCTTCAACCTGGGCATTGTTAACACCTGGATGATGATCACATCAGCCTTGTACCTGGGAGTTTTTTTTCTGCCTTTGGACAGATAGAAGGTTCTGAGGAGTGGACTGACTTCTGTCAGGTCATATCACTGAAGGTGCCGGGACCCCTGTGAGGAGGTGATCTCCCTGGTGGAGTTGGTATCTCTGCACCTTCGTTATGGCACCTTTTAGGGCACATTCAGGATCATTTTCTTCATCCGCCCCTTCCCTTGACCAGCTCTCATACATTCCTGCAGCCATTCCCTGCCATCCTGGCAGCCAGCCGAAACCACACCCAGAGAGACCAGTTCTGTCTTTATTTCCTCAGCTCCTTGAACGTGCCAGGCACGGAGTCAATACATTCTGAACAAAAGAGCTTTTGGCAAAAGGCAGGTGAGCAGACTGAAACCCCCATCTCAGTCAACACATGCATCAGAAATTACACTTTTCTAAACTTGGGCAGGTGTGGGCCACATTTTCTGAAGTGTGCAGATACGTGTAGAGGGTTTTCTCTACGGTGCTATTTTCTAAGGGCCTATTTTTATACTGTGAAACCAAGGATGTACTTGCTCCCTGATCATCTATTTATTGTGTAATACTACCCCCACTCCTAACAGTCCCTCCAGAAGATTAGTCTCATGGCTTCGATGATTCTGTCCTCTTTGTCTAGGTATCAGATATTGTGCTAATCTCAGCAGGGAACAGGGCTGTGCCCGAGTGTGGGCTACTATGTGCCCGACCAGTTCAAAACACTCCAGGCCCCCGAGCTTGCCTGGGTCTGGAATAATGAGGCCAGGACAAAGAGATCATGGGCTTTATTATTAGACACACTTGCAAAAAAGCTTATTGATGAAAAGCATTTGCGGGAAGAGTTGGCACAGAAGTCAGCTCCTATTGTTAAAAGTCCGAAGAGCACTTGGCTTTGGTGAAGGAGAGCCTGCATCAGTTATTAGTGTCTCAGGCCACAGGCTGCTCCGCTGTGGTGGTCCGTGGAGCTCATGAAACATAACCATCCTTTCTATCTCAGAGAAATAGGGAAAATTAAAATTTTCACATGAAAATTAATCTTCAGCCCTGCTGTTTCATGCTTGCTCATGCATAATTTAAAGGGTGTTAAATTCGCAGAGGCAAATGTTGGTGTCAGTTCAAAGTAAAGACATTATAAGCCGTTTTGCTAAAATCTGAAAATTCGGCCCTACTGTTGAGTGTTAGCCTGATTAACAGAATTGTTCGTGTTGTTAATAATTTGTTTTGACCTTTTGTACAGAAATATAGTCTCTGTTTTAATAGGCTTAGCTCAATCCACAGAGTAATTACCCGTAATACCTTAATTCTCCTAATATCACGGCGAAAGGCTTCAGAGCGGAATTCATTTGAAAACGTGCATTGTTTCTGAATAAGACCTCCTTCTGGGTCTCTAGGGTTATGTAAGCAGCTTCTAAACATTTTAAATCACCTATTTTTTTATTTTTTAAACAAAGTTAGCTCTTTGTATGTTGGACCTTCCCCCAGCTCTGCATACATTGGTTTAAGCTTTATTTGTAGCAGCCAGACATTGTAAATAAAGGCTTACGGCCTGTTTTTTATTGTACCTTGTTGGCAATGATAGCATCTCCTCTGAAGCCATGTGAACACTATAGATTGGATGTAGCTGATGGTGTGGGAGGGGCCACACTGTTCCTGTGGCGGTAAGTACCAAGGCCATAGTATCTTTCCACAAGGGCTTCTAAGAGCAGAAAAACATCAAATGTTGTGAGTAAAATGTAAACCAGAGAGTCTCTCAGGGCAGGAATGCTCGGGCTCTTCTGTGTTATTTTTCCTTCTTAATTGCTGTGTTACAGTCTGTTAGTGGGAAATTGTCAGAGCCGGCTGGACTGTGCGCCCCAGTTACATCTTATCCACAGGCCCGCCCATCTTTCTCCTGGCCGCCCAGACTCCTGCTCTAATTGTGGAATTAAAGCACACAGTCTCTATAACTGTAACAAAGTGGTTCACCAAAGTAGAGGGCATTGGGAACTGGGATTTGAACCCTGGACTTGTAGAGAATACTGAATATGGGTGCTGGTTTGTTTTTCTAACCACCTAGCACTGAATTGCTGCTAAAATCTCTGAAATCTTCCGCCTCCTAGCTTTGTTTCCCTGCAAATGTACTGGTAAGTCACCCAGCACACAGATCCTGAAGCCCTTCTTCCCAGCTATTCAGTTGGCTAATGTCCTGTGGATTCTGTCTGCATATGCCGGCAGCACCCTGAATTCAGACCCACATCTGTTCGTGCTGGCTGTTAAGGACGCCTTTTCTGGAGCCTCTTTCCCCATCCAGTCACACCCAGATACGTATGTACCTCAGTAACAACAGTGATTGATCGTCGTCTCAGGTGCTGTTCAGTGGTTCCCAGTTGTCACCTGCTCTCGTCTTGATAGCTGATTCCAACACCCGATTTACTGGCTCTTCCAAGCCTCTACCCAATCACACCCTCTGGGGGAGGGACCAAATGGCAGCACTACTCACAGTTCTGCTGAGAATTCCTGGACACACCAAAGCGGGAGGATGGCCCTCACCCCACCCAGCCTCAGCCTGGCCTCTGCTCTGGCTCTTACTCTGTAACTCCGGGTCCCATCTTCTGGTACCAAACACGGCTCCCTGACTTATGAGGTATTCAGTGAAATTTCAGAAACCAGTCAGAACAGCAAGGCGACGGTGCTGATTTTGTTTATGTCATAGTGATGATCATGCTAAAGCACACGGCGAATGTCTCATGCTCAGACAGTGTGAGAACGACACAGATGCCATATCTCTGAGTTTTGCTGGGACTCACTACTACCCACCTGGGTATTCACAGTGACTCTCGGTCTCGTGTGCTTACCAGTGCTTGTCTTCACGTTTTAGAGGAGGATTTAAAAAAACAACAACACCCATTCAATCGATCGTGGTGCTTTTTGATGCTCTCACAGTTAGTCATTTGGAATGGCAGGTATATCCTCTTAAAGAGGTATGAGTCCCGAACAGGATGCTTATCCTGGGAGCTAGTTCAGTTTCCTATAATCCTCTGCAGAGTTAACACAAACAGTGTAAAAGTTTCCGGAAGTTCTGGTTTTACATCATTTCTGCCTGAATAAATACTGTATTTGAGAGATTAGTTCAGTAAAAAAAGCTCTATACTATTTGGTTCATGTAACATCTTATTTACAACTAGAGGCCCTGGTGCACGAAATCATGTACGGGTAGGATCCCTAGGCCTGGCCAGCGATCAGGGCCGATCTGTGGGGCGACTGATGGGGCAGTTGGGGGGCCCCCTGTTGTCACCTGCCTTGGCCGGCTTGGTGCTGCCCGCTCGCTGGCCCGGCCTCCCCACCGCCGCTGCTGCTGGTTGCCTCCCTCTGCAGGGTAACCAGCGGGGCAATCAGGGGGCCCCCACTGGCACCCTCCTTGGCTGGCCTGTGGGCTGGGGGCAGCTCCTGCGTTGAGCATCTGCCCCCTGGTGGTCAGGGCACGTCATAGCGACCGGTCATTCTAGCAGTAGAAGGTCCTGAGAAAGGGCCTATTGTCATATATTTCTGAAATAAAATTCTCAGTTCACTCCATTTAATGATTTTTGAGGACTTATCCAGTAAGTGTTTATTAGTTGTGTCTCTACTAATAGATTAAAGAAAGATCTTTTTCCATATTAAAGAAAACATTTCCCACTGGCTAAAGAAAATATCAGCCCAGTTGGAATGGCTCGTTGGTTGAGCATCGTCCTGTGCACCGAAAAGTTGCCTGTTCCATACCTGGGTTTCAGATCGATGCCTGGTCAGGGCATGTAGGGAAGGCAACTGGTGGATGTTTCTCTCTCATATCGCAGCCTTGATTGGACATGGCAAGAATGTGAGCCGGGGGTTGTATTGGGGTCAGTGGGATGCCAGGGACTATAATGACCTGTCACAATTACTGTGTATACTATAGATTAAGCAAGTGATGGCTGGAGACTTAGGGCTTGGCGTTTTATACTTCAGCCCGAGCTGTAGCTCTCTGTGTACCTGATTTGGCCACACTGAGGATGCCTTGCTGTACACAGCCTGGTGCTTTCCTGTCAGCCCCTCGTGGCATTTGGAAATGTGTCGGGTTTTGTCCTGTTGCCAAGACTAAGACTCCAACCAAATTTCCATCAGTCTTTCTAAACCTCAGGTACTCTGGCTTTTAGATACTTGGACCTGATTTCCTACAGCAGGTGTGCAAGGCTCTTATATCCTTTGCATTCACAGACATTGATAGAGGAACAATAATTCTTTGTTGATACTTTTCAGGGAGAAACAAGCAAGCATTATTTTTTTAGCCCCCTTAAGTTGTTCATGGTCCAAAACTCAGTGCATAGTATTAGTTTTTCTTATTAAATATATATTTCTACTAGTAAAGGGATCGTTGCCATCATTTAATGACATATTTTTTTTTTTAGTCTTTTCTCTTTCCAGCCTACTGCCTCCTCCTAATCCTTATAGTAATTAAAGTAGCATTTCCCTGACATTGCCAGAGGTTTCCTTGGCAGTAGGGGTTGGGTTAGGATACAGGGACAGTGTGGGAACGAATCCTTGCATGTTCCAAGCTGTGCACTTCGTTTCTGGCCTTTCCTATTATCTTCTGGATAACTTGGTTTCTTCTGCTTCTTGCACCATAAGTTTGAGCCAAGCTGGCCTCTTGGCCCCCTGTAGATATTTCACCAAACTAACAGCCAAAAATGACTTTGGGTTTCAGTCTTGAATCTGGAATCATTCTATCATTGTTCACTGGATTAATAAGTGCCTTGCTTCATATCTCTTACTTGCCACTTGGAAGTGAGTAGCTTGCAAAAAACATAGTGCTTAAAGCTAGGATTCATAAAATTGATTGTGACTTTGTTTTAAAACGTCAAGATATGTGCAATTTTGGCTCAAATGTGTCCTTTTCATTTCACTTTAGAGCAGCTAAGGAATGACTATAATATTATTCAGTTTTAGGCAGTTGCAAGGCAGCCAGGGAATAAAATGTTGATTTACAACTCGGCCTTTGGAGTTAGGTTTTACATGCAAATGCAAGGTGCTCCTTATATGCTCCTCGCACCATAGAAGGGCAGCTGGTGCTCGTCCCTTTAGCAGACGGTTAGTAAGCCAGTGGTGCCAGACGTGTCAGTAGGCGATAATGTCCCCGAGGTTTTCACGAGATTGGTTCTCCCAGATTGGTCCAGTACAAGGCCGGCAGCATGACCCTGACTACTGTAAACATCACTGTTCTGTCTTGCCCTCTTTCCCACTGGCCACCTGGAGCCCCAGATCCTCCTCATGCTGCTCCAGGAAATCAGCCACTTCCCAGCAGGAGCCCAAAGTTTGCCACCCTGGTTCCTAGGAAGAGATGAGAAAGAGATTGCATATATCCGTCTTCTTGGGAGAAGTGAAACCTATATAATTTTATTATCCAATGTCACGTACAATAACGTCACCCCAGTAAATGTAATAAAGATTTAAGAAGAGGACACAGTATAATGTGGTGACAGGAGAGGTTCCGTGCAAGGGGCGGTGGGAGGGAAAGGCCCTGGCTCAGGCTGGATGTGCTGGCTGAGACTTGGAAGAGGGAATGACCAGGATGAATGAAGGGTGGACCCCAGGAGGGTGTACCACAGTGTGGAAGGTGGGAGGGGTAGGAGAGAGGGCAAGAGACAGGGCTGGAGTCAGCTTGGTGGGAGAAGCAGCAACGGCCTTCCTGAAAGGCATGGCAGGAAACCACATTGGGGAGATTACTCTTCATCCTGGCAGTGACTGGGAACAAACTGTGAGAATTTCAGTCAGGGCAAGATCAGATTACATCACTAATAATAATAACAGGACCCACAGTGGAAATACCTGAGTTGCTTACTCAGCTCCAAGATCTATCTCCCTACCACTCTGTGAGGTATGTGTGTTACTGTTTTCCTGTTCTTGTATATGATGAAGTGGAAGGTGACAGAACTGAGTCATTGGAGCAAGTCCAGGTTGCTCGGCCCATGGGGAGCAGAGTGAGGTTCAGGCTTACCAAGGATGATACTGTTCAGAACTAAGTTGTGTCCCCTTGTAGAGCCTAGTCAGCTCCACTTTGGGAAACACCAGCCAAAGAAACCAGAGATCTGTCTCTGAAAATGTATTTCACTTCTAAGTTATCAGTGCTAGGAAAGTTTGTCATTAAAACTAGTAAAAAAACCAAAACAAAACCAACTGTTTTTTTAAGGGAGAGGTGGAGAGGGAGAGAAAAACATCAATGTGAGAGCAAAGCATGGATTGGCTGCCTCCTCTACACCCCCTATTGGCAATTGAGCCCACAATCAGGGCATGTGCTCTGACTGGGAATGGAACTGGCGACCTTTTGGTGCATTGGATGATGCCCAACCAACTGAGCCACTCTGGCCAGAGCAAAAAATAAAATAAAATAAAATAAAATTTTTTAGTCATTAAAACTCAAAATTAAAATGTTTCTTGGAAAAAAAATGTTTCTTGGACTCCAACTTGAGCGATAGGAATTCATGCCATGGGACACGGGAGGCAGATACTAATTAGAAAGCTGTTGTAAGGGGTCTGGATGAAAAACGTGAGGAGTGAGCCGTGGCCGAGGCAGGAGTGGAGAGGAGATGGATTCCAGGGAGTGTGGGTCATCGAATCAGCAGGACTTGGGAGGTGGATGTGGAGGGACCACAGGCTGATGTTGGTCTCTGACTTGGAAGCTGGTCCTGAAGGTATCATTCCCCGAGGAAGGGATAAGGAAGGAAGTAGGCACAGGGTGAGGGGGAGATGTAGTCATCTGGGTTGCTTTTCTTTGAGACGCTTGTGAAACATCAATGCGGTTCAGAATTGTAGGAATGGAGGTTCAAGTTCATGCTATAAGGGTCCTGGCTTGTGATTCAGAATAAAGACATCAGAAAGGGGTCCTTAAAATTAGAACAAAAACCAGGACATTAAGACAGGTACCAGGTGTCAAGTGATGTTTGGGCCAAGAATTGGGGTTCCTGGACTTTCACCCCATCCCTGTTTCATCTCTGGGCTGAAATTTACTATGCATAGGACAAGTGGATTAGAAGAGAAGCCCTTTTTCCTTCTAATAGTTTGCGATTCTTGGTGGAGGTTTAGTATATCAGTTTGTTTTGTTTTTGGTTGCTTTTTGAAAATAATTTTAAAAAATTGAATCAGTTGTATGTATCCAGATATGTTCATTGATAGCTATATTGATTGGCCTGATTTAGCTTTGTAAGTCTAGAAATGTTGCAAATTTTTAGAAAAGTGTTATAGAAATATATATATTAAAAAAAAAACAAAATTAAAAACATCTACAAACTTGCAGCCCATCATTGGAGTTCTGATATATTTTCTTCCTGTTTTCCCCCTCTATATTTGTAGATGTCATTCGTTTTGAGATCATTGTAAACCCACATGCATATGTAAGCAAGAATATAGAAAGATCCCAGGACCCTTTGCCAGTTCCCCCCAGTGATCTTACACAAGATCACAGCCAGGGTGTTGACACTGATACAGTCAAGATACAGAAGTGTCCCATCAGCCCCAGGACCCCACATGCTGCCTTTTACAGCCACCCCCACTTTCCCCTTAACCTCTGGCAAACACCAGTGAAGTCTTCC